CTGGATGTTCGGACCCCAGTATTTACACATGGACAACTTTATGTGGCTCTTTCACGTTGCACATCAAGCAACCGTATCAAAGTTCTCTTCAAAGATGGTTCACAACAAACTGTAACACAAAATGTAGTCTATCCAGAGGTATTATTAGATTGATGTAAATGGTAAAAGTACTGATAAATGTCACTTTATTTTGATTGAGATGTAAGAAGAGCCAGAATTGAACATGTGTACCAGAACTAGGATTAAACATGTGTACCAGGGGGTCCAGGGGGCGTGCCCCCAGCAAGCTGTGACCAGTGCTGGAGGAACAGCTGAGTGTTAGCGAGTGCCGTGCCGTAGGCACAGGTCTAAAGCTTGTCTAATATATAAAGAGAGGATGGTTGACAGTTATTACATAATAGATCATGTAAGCAGCCTCTTTGTCTTTTACTGAGCCGCGTTTCCCAGGAATGTCACATGCTGTGACCACAACTATAGAACCCAAAACATTGTGTTGGTAGCTTCCAACCATATTCTGTAATGGTAAAATTTTGTATAGTGCTGCATTATTTTTTTGTGAGTGGCTCTGTGGTCACACCTCTCTGAGCAGCCTCAATTTCGCTTTTTCTGTACTATTTTTTACCCCTCACTTCCCTATATCCATTGTCAGTGTATTCTTCTCCTACTTTGAGATCTATGCAGATTAAATTTCAGGTGGATTTTAGTTGCTTAATAGATTTTCATAATTGATCTACTGAGTGCATGATATGGTACTGTGTAAGCCATAGCCAAGGGTTGAAAGACCAAAAAATATAGCCCAGCCTCAATTTTGCTTTTTCTGTACTATTTTTCATCCTCCACTCCCCTCCACCCACTGTCATGGTATATTTTTCTTATTTTTGAGATCTGTGCAGATTAATTTTCAGGTGGATTTTAGTTGCTCAACAGATTTTCATGAGTGGCCTATAGCAATGTTAGGTTGGGTTTCATATGTTGTATTTGAAATTGAAGCACTGAATTGTAATTCATGGTGCATGGTATGGTACTGTGTAAGCCATAGCCAAGAGTTGAAAAATCAAAAAATATGGCCAGCTTTGTACTGCTGACTGCAGTTACAGTAAAAATGTAGGACTATATAGGTGTGGATCTAAATGTAACTTTGATGATTTGGATTAGAATAAAATTTGAATGAGGGCAGTTTAACTTTGATGATTAAGATAAAATGTGTGTGTCAAAATTGGGATTGAACATATCAACTGGGAGGTCCAGGGGGCTGCCCTGACATGCTGGCCAAGTGCAGCCAGTGCTGTTGCAGTGTATTTTTGAAAAGTTAAATAAAATGTAAGTACCAAAACAGGGATTGGTGTAACTTTGAGAAACATGTACACCACAGTTATCAGATTTTTAAGAGATAGCCCAAGGGTCTTCCCTTTGGCAGGCTGGCCAAGTGCAGTGAGTGCCAAACCATAGGTGCAGGT